CGGCGTTGCAAAAGCCATTAAATTGACGCAAGTATAACATGACACAAAGCTTAATAATAATAATAATAAATTTCTGCCTTTTGGCAAATGGCTTGTGAAAGTTTTTCACACAGGAAGCCGGCCGCGATTTATGCAACAATTTATTAGTTATTGTTGTTTTTCGGCACTCTCTCATGCAAATTGTATGGTGCTCAAGGCTGTTGTGACAAAGTCGTCGACTGCATACAAAATACGAACCGCGAAAATGTGATTCACATTTTAGCTCATGTGATGCGGTGGTTGAAAAGCCGTTAATGTTAATCGACCTTCGCAGGGCGAGCTGAAAACGTCACTAAAAACGTGTGTTGGAGAAGCGTTTTTATAAACTCAGGCGCCGGATACTATATGATCTATTTAGCATTTAGTTGGCGTCAAGAATTACGTGGAACAATTTGGGGGTCTCAAATGACTCAATAAATGGGAATTTTTCAAGCGTCAGCCGAAACGCCATTAAATTTGACCAACTTGTCCGGCCACAGACACTGAATTTAGCGCTTTATTGTTTACAAAGAGTCATGGCTATTTATGATATAATTAATAATTATTAAATTTGTATACAAACGTTTAGGTAATGTGGGTTTCATTTGTGAATTTAAGAAATGCTGGTCCACTTCAAAGTCATCGAAAAGCGGGCTATAAAAATTAATAAACCATTTAGAATGGCAGGTCGAACGATTGTGAAGATTGTGGGTCTTAAGAGCAATAAAAACAGACGAAGGCGAAACTCAAAGGCAGTGAAAAGATCCAGTTGAAGACCCAGAAATATGAAAAAAAATAAAAATACAATAACCTTCAAACATATTTAGCATCGAATAACTAATTCACATAAAAACGAATGCATATTAGATATCAAATGAATTTATAACTTCCTACAAGTGGAATCCTGATGTTCTTGAAATGCATAAAAATATGTATCTCCTTCCACAAATACGCCTAAGCTTTAGATACGCTTAGACATCAGTAAGATGTATGCAACTCCAGTCCATTTATTAGATTAGACCGACCTGCAGTTCGATGACGTCACACAATGCGTATACGCAATTAGGCATGCACGAGTGAACTTGGCCCCCAAGTTAAGTCGAGTCACTGCTCATTTGTCTAACTTTAATTGCGACGATTGTTGTAGCCGTTTGGCAAACTAACTGATAAGCGTATAATTTGATTATCAGAGGCTGGCGTCTAAATGCTTCGAAATTTATTAAGTGTTAAAGGTTGAAACGCCACGAAATCCGCAAAGTTTTTTTTTGGGCCAAGGCCTGAATTTACTAAAATGACCTCTTAATTAAGCAGCCGGCGACATCTACTGAACAAGTTTGCTGTCCAAGTCTTTTGTTTTAGAACTGTAGCCACATACAGCGACACACGATTAGCACCAAGTCTTTAATTGTGAGCCTGAGCCCCATTGACATTTAGCGGATAACTGGTCGTTCTGAGAGAGGCGCGAATCATAATCTAATCGAAGTGCCGGTCTCAAGCTCTGGACCTCTTAAGCTAAAGCTGGTCGTCCAGATCGGCCACGAGCGGCAGCTGTTAAACAAGAATGCCAAACCACTCCGCTGAAGGCAGTCCACTTTTGGGAACAGCACGCAACTAGACTGAATCAACAAAAGCCGACTATTGTTGCTATATTCTCGATTACGTCCAGCGCTGCCGAAATCGGAGTTATCAGCTTACTAACAACTCAGATATGAGGAAATAATGAAATAAGTTTAGGAATAAATTACGTATTATTAGTCTGCTACAAAATAAAGTTAATTTTTTAAAAGTACTATAAATTTTAATTTTAAATATTAGTTTCCTTTCTTAGTTATGAGTTTTCAATCAGAAACTTTAAATATTTAGTACAAATTATATCCCAAAAATTGAATTCGTAAGTAGATCAAATAATCATACATACACGCATATATTTTGATTTAAATACCCCCAAAAACGAAATATTTTGAAATATATATAACAACAAAGTTAATAAAAAGAAGTTAAGAGCATCTGACCCTCAAATCTCTGTTCATCTACACTAAAAAAATATATTTAAAATCTCTACACATAAATTTAAAAATCGTTCACTTGGTACTTTATTTTTGTACTTAACTTTTTCACTCAAAACAAACATCTACAAACTACATCTGGTAACTATTAAAACCAATCATTTAATAACCAATAAACCCACATCTTATAGAGCATCGGTCTTTACACATTCCTGTGTTAGCTTTCTTTTTATGCACACAATTTTTTTTGCTGCCTTCTCTTTTGATTCTGTTATTAATTTATTAATAGTTTTTTCCACCATGGTGAGCAGAAAAACCCGTTGTCTATTGACTGGTCATGAGTTTTTGTTTATCATGAAAATTCTAAATGGCATGCTCATGTCATTTGCTAATTTTTAATGGCCATAAAACGCCAAAGCTGCAAAGCAAGTTCGCGCTCACGTCGCTCGGTAAAGACCTTGACTTTCTTTTTGGCAGACAGTACGAAAGAGTAAATGAAACATTTCTCCGACTCAGTCCGACTGCGATTAGCTGGTCATAAAAAAGTTAGGGCTGGAGTTGACAAACTCCACGTTACAATGCGCATTTTAAAAGCAAAACTGTTTGCATGTGTGTAGAAAGTCAAACTCGAACCGTTGACAATGCGTTTTGTTGACTCACTCACTCGCGGTTTCTGCGGATTTTTAGCCATTTCACTTGCTGGCATGCAAATTCTGGGGCTAATAGAGCCAAAAAGATGGCAGAAGCTGGCGGATATCCATTTCGACCGCATACATTTATACATGTCTGATCTCTAAGACTCAGCTTTTGTTTAGGCCGGAACAATGGCAAATCAATAAAAGCTTGCCGTCTGGCCAGTCGACTTTGGTCCGCCTTCCGCCTGTACATTAATCACCTATGGATTGCGCAGACGCAAGTAACTAGTTTCCACCTCGGACACCTAATACACACATTTCAAGGCAATAAAATATGTTTGGCCATGCAATTCTCCCATGTCTGCTTTTCCTATGCACTTGCGTCTGGAAGTGCACTCCTGCGCGTGTGTCTGCGCAAAATGCATTTCCATTTCGTTTTGTTTGACTCGGGCTTCGTTTATTTTGAGTCTCCGTGGGGAATGTTGACCGTGCATGTCACTCGGGTTTAGCTTTGAAAGTTGTTTGCTTCCTGCTGCTGCACGTCGCGGCGATTTTGCCATTTTAATTATTAAACTCATCAGCTATGGAGGCTCCTAGCAATAAAGTGCAGAACAGGTATGGCACAAACTTTTCGGCTTTAGGCAGAATATCTAACAATTGAACGGCTGCCAGTATACTGAATGTAAAATGTGGAATGCAAAAGAAAAAGGCTATAGGCTCACGTAAATCAATCGATATTAGCCCACTAAAGGAGGTACTTCAGGCGCTCTTGGCACAGTTTGTGCGTTTAAACGAGTGCATTAAGTGGCCATTTGCACTTAAGGAGGCAGAAAAAAGACAATTTAAGAATATGAAATAATGACAAAAAAAGTAACAACAGAACAAAAAGACGGAATTAAAAAATTCAAAACCAAAATTATCGCGCCAATTCGGTATTTTAATACCAATCATTAGATATGCAAAAACATCGATAGTGAGTACACCGATGTTTGAAAACATCGATAATACACTGAAAACATCGAAACATTTTAAATAATATAAAATTTCCCATAACTTGCTCCAAATATTATCTTCATGAAACAAAAAACAACGAAAATAAAGAAAGTAAAATAAAAAAAGATACAATCCATTTCTGAAAACACTTCTTATCACTTTATTCCATAAACCACTTTTTGCTAAAAAAATAGTACGTTTACTTCTTTAAGCCTAGTATCTAGATCGACGAAAACCGTACGCCAGTCATGAGAGAGAGCGAGAGGCAAACAGATGGCGTTCACTTTTCGTCGGGCCTTTTTTTCACGTCGGTCCACAGATCGACGAAAAAATACCAGAAAATTCCATAACGTTGACAGTCTGCGGAAATGAACTTTGGGTGAACCCCTAGCGAAAAGATTAACAAATGTAATCTTTTGGCGTGCGCTTCTCACTGAACATTATAAGAAATGGAGGAAAAACTCAAAAAACTCACAAAAGTCGATTGCAGGTGTTTACATGTGAGGACAAAATAACATTAATACTATCTGGGGTGCCTCTTGTCAGAGCAAAATGTTTTTTAGGTCCAGAATGTACGAAAAAACACAATAAAAGTGCAGCTATGAACTTTATATTAGCAAATAATTATCAGTAAATTAAAAAAAACAACTTTTAAATTGAAATTGTATTGTTTTTTAATTTCGTTGTACAGCGGCAGACTTGTCTTGCCAATGTATTTGATAATATCTTTTAAAGGCTCTTTCCCACAAATACGATATTTGAATTTTAACTGCTTGTCAACAAACCCAGCTGATTGACAGTACGACCATAGCACGATTAAATCTGATGAACTCTCAAACTTTTGGTCACACTGGAAAGATTAAAGTTTTTACGCTAGCGTAATCGGTTGTCGATCTGGATACTAGGCTTAATAATGTTCAGTGAGAAGCGCACGCCAAAAGATTAAATTTTTTAATCTTTTCGCTAGGGTGCACCCAAAGTTCATTTCCGCAGACTGGCAACGATACGGAATTTTCTGGTATTTTTTTCGTCCATCTGTGGACCAACGTGAAAAAAAGGCCCAACGAAAAGTGAACGCCAGCTGTTTGCCTCTCGCTCTCTCTCATGACTGGCGTACGGTTTTCGTCGATCTGGATACTAGGCTTAACAACTTACAAAAATGGGTTTAGGCCAACAGAAGTGGTTGTTGGCCCTATAGTGCGCAGTAAGGGGTTTGAGCTGTAATAGACTGTACTAAATATATTGAAAACAAGAAAGGAAAGCTAACTTCGGGCGGAGCCCAAAGTTGGGCCACTTGTTTGTACTGCTCGAAGTGCATCAACGTCCATCATATATTATCGATAGTGTTATCAATCCTTTAGCAGCCCTTATACTTGGTCACACTAATAACAAAAGCGCAAACAATTGCATTAATTTTAAGTGGAATTTCGAAAAATAGAAAGACTTTTCGCTATAAAGGGATTATCAGTTCATCCAATATGGCCAGCACTTCCCGCGCTGCTAGAAGCCAGAACGCCAGTCTTTCGCAGGCAACACAACCCATTCGGGAAGTGGACGACAAAGTGCGTGCTATTTTAAACTACATTTTGGATCACACCGCCCAGAAGATTCCCATCAAGGACAAGGATTTGGTGCCATCGGCGGGCGACAGGAACGAGCTGAAGAAACGCCTCCCGCTGGTTACTGAACTCCTGGCCAAGCGCTTCGGTATTTTGCTCACCCCATTGGATGCGGCCTCCAAAACATTAATTTGCATTGCGGAAGAGCCAGTGGCATCCATTCACGAGCTGACCCCGGCACAAAGACCTCAATTCACACTTTTGTGCATCGTCCTCCTGTACATATTCTTGCGCGGCAACCGCATCGAGGACTCGAAACTGTATGCCGTGCTGGAGATGCTGAATATCCAGGCCGACGAGGAGCACGGGTATTTCGGCGCCAATGTGCGCAAGCAGATCGATGAGACGTTCGTGAAGCAACAGTACCTGAAGCGGGAGCGCTCGCAGCTGAGTGCCTACGATGACGCCAAGACATTTTTCCTTTGGGGACCGCGTGCCAAGGCGGAGTTTACCTACGAGCAGATCGTGCAATTTGGCTCCAAGCTTCTAAATCAGCATCCCAAAATCTTCGAACCCCACCTGATCATGGCCCAGGAGGGTGCTAATGCGGAACAGTAGACACTGGAAATTTTCAGCAAATAAATTCACTCAATATTGTCAAATTACCAAACCGGTATGAATTAATTGGGATTTCTGTATGTCATTTTACTAAAAAACGAGGACGGAAGCTAACTTCGGCAAGCCGAAGTTTTAATTCCCTTGCAGACTTTGCCGAAATTGCTAAAACTGAAAAAGTAGCGAAAGGAATAAGGTATACATAAGTAAACTACATTTGCATCGTTTTATGTCAATTGCTTATATACTGCAAAGGTCAAATGCTTTCGCAGCCTTTAACAATTTTTCCTACGGAAGCTATAAGATATAGACGTCTGATCGGCAAGCGCTCTTACCCTAATCAAGATATGCATAAATGAATAAGACTTGTAAAAATTTATGTCAGTAGCTTACACACTGCGCGAAATATTTTGATAATCATCAAATTTGGACCGATTTCACCCTATTGTTCCTGTGGGAGCTATTGGATATAGACGTCCGATCGGCACGCGCTTTAACTTGATCAAGGTATGCATAAAAAAATACGATTTGGAAAGATTCATGACAATTGCTTATATACTGCGCGAAATATCCTAAAAATCATTAAATTTTAACCGATTTCACCCTATTGTTCCTATGGGAGCTGTAGGATATAGACGTCAAATCGTCACGCGCTAGGTATGCATAAAAAAATAAGATTTGGAAAGATTTATGTCAATAGCTTTTACACTGCGCGAAATATCTTCCATTCTTGCAAGTAATATCCGATTGTTCCTATGGGAGCTATAGGATATAGACATCCGATCGGGGCGGTTTTCTAACTTGATCTGCGTACACTTGTTTTAGGACGACTGTGAAATTTTCAGATCGCTAGCTTTTAAACGACTCCCCTGTTGATCCTGATCAAGAATATATATACTTTATGGGGTCGGAAACGTCTCCTTCACTGCGTTACAAACTTCTGACCAAAATTATAATACCCTCTGCAAGGGTATAAAAAGATTGATATTTTTACCTATCAGCTTAAAATTCTTCTGAGAGAAAACTTAACTTTAGATACTATTAATTTTTTATTTTGTCTTATCTACAATCTATACTATAACTAAAATTCCTAAGGAATGTTAAAAATTTATTTAGTACTTTGCTAATGAACTTGATATTAAACAGTTTAAATAAACATTTTTAGAATGTCTAATATGAATTAACGAAATTACTGCAATTTTTTATAAAAATTTGGTTATTAAATCACCTAAAGGGATATAGTTAATTATTATTTTAAGGTATTTATAAACAAGAACAGGGTCAATTGCTTTCCAATAAATTTAAAAATCTAGAAGATCATAAAACGAGAAGAAGAACGAGAACATGATTGACCAACAATATATATTATATAAATAAAAAATAAATTAAATCCTTGAAATTCCCCTAATCAACACATGATATCCTTATTATAAAAACAACGTGACTTGACAATTTATTAAAAAACTGTAATTCTCTTCAAAAAAGAGATCGGTCGCCTCTAGTACTTTGCATAGTCCGTGTCCATTATAAGCTTTCCATCTTTGTCCTTCAGGCGAACGCGACCGTTAGAGTAGCGCGTCTCTTGACTGCCATCCGGATATACTAGCTTAACAGTGCCATCCGGGTACTCCCTCCGCTTATTTAGTTTTGTATGAATCTCCTTTTGGCCATTGGGAAGATTTAGAATCTTGTCCCCATTCCGGAGCTGCACTAGGTGAGTTCCATCTGCATAACGCCACTCCTCTAGTTTCTCTGCATCGCTGGGATCAACTACCTTAATGCTGTTATTGGGGAAGTGGATCTCAATGGTGCCATCCTTGCGGCGATGTTCGGTTTGTCCGTTGGGAAACTCTAGTATTTCCAAACCATCTAGGTAAGAAGTGTGCCACGTATTGGTCTCAGCGTAGTAATACTTCACTGTGCCCTCCCTTATGTCAGTTTCCTTAATGTCCTTATTAAAGTAGAGCATGCGAACGTTCATGCCATCTGCGCTGATCTTCTTAAGATTGCCATTTGGGTACCAAATGTCCTTGCTGCCATCCGCATTCATTATCTCTCGCTTGAAGTCAGTGCTGGAGTTGGCGGTCGCTGGAGGATCGGCTGTGGCAGGTGTCACTGGTGGCACAACTTCTTCCACATCCCCGGAGCTGCTGGAGGCGTAACTCTCATCCAAAGCCTCTGCCCTTTTCTTACTTTTGCCCAGGGAGCGACTGCGGCTTCTAGCTTGGACAGTGCCGCTGCTTTGGCGACGGTGGGAGGCTTCCCGCTGGTGGCTTCCCGCGACGGTGGGAGGCTTACCAGCAGTGCCATCCAGGGACTTGGTGCGACGTCCGTTTTCATCGAAGGGCTGCGACGTAGAGGCAGGGGGTAACTGAAAGAATAAATTAATTTAAATTTGGTATACCCAATTTAAGCTACAGCTATACTCACCACCTTGGGTGCCAACCGCGCAATGTTTCGGTTGATCTCCTGCAGCATCTTAGTGTTGTTTTCACGGCTTATTTTTATCAGCTCCTGCTCCATGCGCTTGTTCTCCCTGTTCAGCAGCTCGATCTCGTCGCGGTAGTTGCGCTGCTCCTTCTCACTGGCCCGCAATTGAGCACGGAGTCTTGCCTGTGCCGAGACGTGGGTCTGCTCCTTCTGCTTGAGCTGCAGCTGCAGTGCCTCCAAATCGTGTTTCAAGGCGGCTATCTCCTTCTTCTCCTTGGTGTTTGCGTTGCTCTTCTGGAGGCGCATCTGTTGTTCAAACTTGCGACGCTCCTCCTCTATTTTCATACGCTCGTCATGTAGGTATATTTCGGCCTGGATCTTTTCGTCGTGGACGCGTTCCATTGCATCCATATGATCCTGCGTGCACTTGGCCTGCTGTAATTCGTGCTGCTGCTTAAGTCGGAGAAGTTGTGCATTCTGGGCCTTAAATGTAGCTATCTCCGCTTCAAGCTCTTCAAGCCGTGTGCGCACAAGATTTGCCTTTTCCTGTAGTTCCAGTGTGAGAGGTTCCTCTGGCTCCTGGCTGGGACTTGACTTTTTCTTCTGCTCCAAAGCCTGGAAGAGAGCTGATTTAAACTGTTCGAAGAGCTGAATATTAGAGCCGTCGTTTAGGCTGGTAGCATCAGAGTATTCGTGGGTATCATTGGAGTCAGAGAAGCGCACTCGCACTTGCGTTTTTCCCACCTGAATGGGTGTCGCCGTCAGGGTTTGATCAGTGGACTGCTGTTCGTCCTCATCCTCCTCCTCCATTTCGTGCACCAGGACCTGATCCACCTGCGGTTGCAATCGCATCTGACGCACCTGTTGTGTGACCACAATGTGATCAGAGTCATCAGCTACAATACGACGCTGATCCTTGCGTGCCATGAAAGTGCGAATGCAGCTGGAGTTCATATCAATGTTGCCCTCCGTGGCTTTCTGCTCGAGAAGCTCAAATATGCTAACATTGCTGTCGTCTTCCACTCGGATTTGAGCTGATCGTCTTTGTATTTGAGTTGGCTTGATGCTTTGAGTGTCCAACACCCTGGCCCAGCAAACTTCTGTCAAAGGACTGGCCTCCGAGGAAGCTTCATCATCAGCATGCGTGGCTCTGTTCTTTTGCTCCACAAAACGAATTCTGGGTGAGATACTGGAGGCAGTGGTGGAGGATGCATAGGAAGACTTGAGATCTGGTGTGGAATTGCAGACGTTCTTTGAGCTCATTAGCACCCGCTGGAAGTGCTGCTCGTTGAGATCGAGTTTCGCTGGAGGTTTGGGAGCAGGGGCATTTGAAGAAGGAACTATTTCCAACTGGCGCTTCTTGAGGATGCCCTTCTTCTGGGGCGTGCGAAACTGAGGGTGTGCATTGGCGAACTTGTATCGCGGCAGGTTTTCGAGGCGCAGCTGGTCGGGATTTATCTTAAAACGCTGCTTAAGACCTTCCCCGCGACGCAGGAAAGGACGCTTCGGCCTGGCCAATTGGGGACTAGTTGAAGGATTTCTCAATACCTGGTCGTCCTGCTCCGCCGTGAGACGTGGCATTTGTATGGAGGGGTCCTCGTCCCATTGTGAATCCTCCAGCACACTGTTCTCCCGGGTGTCCGCCTCTTGGTGCAGCAATCCCAGCATTTTGTACATATTGCGCTGTTCCAAGCCGAGCAAAACGCGCTGATTGCTTTGACGCTCCTGCAACAGTCGCTTCTGCTCGTCCTGCCAGCGGTTTAGTGCCGCCAGACGATGAGTGATGGCCTCCTGGCTAAATGGCTTTCCAATGGGACTTCCGTCAGTCTCCTGCATATTTGTTTACATTTATTGGACCTCAAAATAGCTATTTTGTTTAGTCGCTGTAAGCGTAAGGGAATTTAAAATTATAAAAACAGTGTTGCTTAACGCTGCGCAGGTGGCAGCTCTGGTGCCAGGGCTTGTCACTTCACACAATTAATTAAATTAATTATAATTTTTATTTTATTAAACATAAGATATTATAAAAACAGCTTAAACGGTAATATTTATGGATTTCATATATCGCGATCGCCTTCCTCCGGCTCATCAAAGTCCTTTACGTTAACGTCTGCATCTTCGCCATATTGTAAAATGTTGTCAATTTGCAAAAGAAGATCGCCTACACTCTCTTCGTCCTGCGAATCTAACGGGAAAAATCGCACCAAGCTGTAAAAATATAAATAAACAAACTTAATTACAAATTGTAAAGATACAAGTAGCAAATTTGACGAGTGGCAACCCCAGACGCCAGCGCATCGTTCGCAGCCCTCGTATCTCACACAAAAGCATTTTTCGACGCGTCGCAAATGAAAATGTGCTTGTGCAATTAAAACCAGAAGGAAAAACTACAAATAAACCGTATTCGGTGCCCCTAATTGCAAGGAATCAGTGCGTATGCGGTAATTGTGCGGCAGTTGCAATTCGCGCGCAAATAGTGAGCTGACGAAATACCACCAAAAATCCCAACCAACAAATCAGGCAGCAGCCATCTACAAAAATCGCCTAATTTACGATACAAAACACTTTTCGGGGGCAAAACGAAAACGCTAAATTCCGGGCACCGGCGAACCACCAGAGGAATTCAAAAATGGAGACGCCAGTCGAGGAGCACGGTATGGACCTCACCAAGGTGTCCGTAGTGCGATCTGCAAAGGGCGTGGATATGCTTTGTGTGGACGACTACCTGTACCACTTTGACCGCATCGGGCGCAACAACACCTACCGCTGGCTGTGCAATCGGCGCAAGGACAAGGCCACCCCCTGCAAGTCCCGCATCTGCACTCTGCTGCCCGATCCGCTGGACAAGACGCGCCACGTCGTCGTGGACGTGGTGCTGGCCCACATCCATCCGCGCTGCAGCGACCACGAGGTCAACAAGGTGGCCCAGCGCAAACGGCTCTCGGTGATGATGATGAACGACGCCTACAGCACCACGCAGCCGAAGCGAGCCCGCCAGTATGAGCGTGCAAACGCCGGCATGAATCCGCCGGAGTTTATTTACGGCGGCATCGACACCTCTGCCGTCGAGGCATCTTTCCAGCTGGACTTTGAGGTACCGCCGCAGATTTTCTGTACCTGGTTTATGGCCCTGACAATTCCTTTTTATGGGTATTATACGAAGCTAAATCGTAAATCGAACTACTATAATCGTGCATAAGTTCGGACTGACTAACCCGCCGGCAACCCCTCCTTATGCTCCTGGCAAAGGCAAAACGAGCTATGGCTGTCCTCCAGCAGTTTAGAATTCCAATTTTTTTTGAGCAGACTGTATATATTCATGTCAAGGGACTAACACCGATTTGAATTCGAGTAGTCAAGAAAAACATTTTTTTAGTTATAAATGTCCGTTAGATCAAAAGACAATTTCTTTAACTATATTAGATATGTTTATTTCACGAGCCAAGCTCTGCGTTTATATTATATATAAATCTATATATTATTTTAATTTTAACGCATATGTTAATTTTCGAAAAGGACTATATAAAATACCAAACTTTAGTCATCAAATGATTAAAATACTAGGTAATATACATTACCAGTTATTAGGGATTTTTCGCAGATGAGCTTAAATATTTTTAATAGCATACAACCTGTATGTTAATCAACAAATTTTAGGACCTTTTTCTTACTCTCATAGTAAGCTAAAAGTCGGTTGAAAATGCATTTCAATACGTTTTCTCAGTTTAAAACCTACTCTTATGTTCCCATACCGACGAGAAAACGGGTCTTAGAATATGGTGGAATCCATCGAAATATGGTAAAAAATATCTTGAGCAATTAAATTCTATACGTATCTTAATTAAATTAGGTAAAGTGTTTTGAACTCTAAGCCCCTTGACAAACACTATCATAAATCAAATTATTTTCTTTGTACATTTGTTTTATAAAGCAGTTTTTGAAGATTAAACATCAGGTGCTGTTAAGATCTTTAGCAAAGCAAATATACATTTTGTGAACATAGTTTTAAATCCATTTCTAAATAGCAAATCCTCTTTAAATATAGTACCTTTTCCTTTTTTATCTTTTATGAAATCCATATTTTGCCTTCAGCTAAGAACTAGATTTAAGAAAATATTTGAAAATGATGGTGCTAAAAACTCTTTAAAAACTTTATTATGATTACCATTATACTCCAGAAAATACTAATTAAGAATCACCTTTTTGGCAGGACAAGGACCGCGTGTACATGTTACGACGCCGCGATGGCCGGGTGATGGTCTGCATCGACGGACACCTGTACTACCTAGCTGGAAAGTCGTACAAGGGCGACATTTTCCGATGGACCTGTGTGCGCAAGCGCGACATCGAGTGTACGGCTAGGATCTGTACGGAGGCAACTTTGGCGGGGGCTCACCGACTGCACGCCGTCGACTCTGATGCGCACATTCATCCGCACTACTCAGCCGCAAAACTGATGCACATGTTTTCCAAACACCAGATCGTTCTGGTTGAGGACGAGCAGACCTCTGATGTATTGGCAGAATGCCCTAATCTTGAATACTTTGATCCAGAAAATACTTTCGATACAGCCCAGAGGTGTGATGACTTGGAATCCATAATAATCGAAGAGTGCGAAGATAACTACGATGTTTATGCAAGGACGGATGAAGACCAAGGTGGAGAGGTTCAAGGAGACGAAGAGATCGAGGGTCAAGAAGGAGAGGAGGAGTCGAGTGTGGTGGACCCTAAATTGGAGCACAATTCGAAGTGGCCAGCGGCATTCGATGTAATTGGCAACTACCTTCCTCCGCCAGGATTTAATCCTCTTACAGAAACGGACTTGACCAAGTTCACATTTCTTCCCTCGGCAAAAGGCAGAAAGGTGCTGTGCTTAAGTCGATATCTATATCACTTTGACTCCCAAAGCAGATCGAACGGCCACATGTTCTTTACTTGCATTAACCGGCGAGACAAGGTCAACACTTGTCATGTCCGCATCACCCTAGATCCGGTCGAAAACGGACCGGTAGTAATCCGAATTAACGGTGAGCACACGCACAATCCAGATATAAAGGAAATTACTCGTCGGCTCAAGCAGCAGGCCAAGTTGGATCAGGACAATCCGCACAAGCTTCTAAAGAGCGAGCACGGCGAAGATGTTGACTTCGAAAGCGACGAGGGATCGGGAAGTCAGGGAGGAGACACCTTTGAACCAGAGCAGAGCGTTGATGGAAGCTACGAGCAAATCGACACGAGCAATGTGGTGATGAAAAAAGTGATAAGCATCGATGGTGCTATCAAAATGGAACCCGAATCCAAGGCGAATATGATTGTGCAATACCTCAAGGACGGCGCGGACAACATAAGCGCTAAGATCGAGATACTGCCGGATGCTCTAGAGGAACTCGACCCTCAGTCCCATGCTGCCTACTCATCCACGCCTTTGCCGAAAGTTCGACAGCCCGAGATCACAAACATACGTCGGCGACGCGATGTAGTAGAGCCTACGAAGGGAGCGCAGCCGGACATGGACCTCACCAAGATCTGTACCCTGAGGTCTGCCAAGGGTCACGAGCTCCTTTGCGTTGATGGCTTTATTTACCATGCAAAAAATCGAGGAGTAATCTCACGCAACTATTGGGTGTGCATTAAAAGTCGCGATCCAGACATCAATTGCAAAAGTCGCATTTCGACGGCCACCCAAAAGGATGGCTCCATTCGAGTTCTTCGAGTGTACAACAGTCACAGCCATCCTTTCAGCGAGGATGACATCAAGCGACGATTGTTCAACGAGATTAACAAAAAGAATAATAAAAAGCTTAAGTTCCGTCCGCTTCATTTTATCGGAAAATCGCTAGATCAGATTCAGCAGGAATATGGTGACTTGGCTATTGAGAGGCTGAATGTCTCTAACATTAGCAGCGATATAGTGGTACACAAGAAGCCACGACTGCCGAGTAGTCACAATAGCAGCTCCGCATCACTGTCCGCTTCTAACAAGGTGGAGACCCACGACGAGGAAGAGGATGTTGTTATTGAGGAGGAAGATGAGGAGCCGGAACAAGACGAGGGCGACGACGTGGGCCTGGAAGGTGATCACCAGTACATGGAGGTTGATAACACAGATGCCATTATCGAAGTCGTGGAGGAAGTGGCCGACGAAATGGAGAGCTACGGCTCCATTGTGTAAGTGAAACAATTAAAAACGACATTACCGAGCCAGTCTATTTAAATACTTAAGACTTTTCAAAAACAAAAAAAAGTTGCATTTAGTCTTTATTTCTTATCTACAGACCCCAAATGAACATTCTTTTTAGGAGCATTTATTTATTATACCCTTGCAAAGGGTATTATAATTTTGGTCAAAAGTGTGCAACGCAGTGAAGGAGACATCTCCGACCCTATAAAGTATATATATTCTTGATCAGGATCACTTCCTAAGTTGATATAAGCATGTCCGTCTGTCCGTCTGTCTGTTTCTACGCAAACTAGTCTCTCAGTTTTAAAGATATCGAATTGAAACTTTGCACACATCCTTCTTTCCTTTGCACGTAGTATATATGTCGGAACTATATCCCATAGCTGCCATATAACTGATTGATCGGAAATGCCATAACTTTGGTGTTTGTAAAGTAAGGAAGTTGGGATTTTCTATGGGTTTTACATTTGGCCAATCAATCCGACCTACCAAATGTCATAAGGATCGGCCGACTATATCCTATAGCTGAACGATTGGAATTGCCATAACTTTGGTGTTTTTAAAGTTAGGAAGTTGGGATTTTTTATAAGTATTAAGAATGCATCATATGAATAATTTTGGAGAATATAATGTACATAATATTCTGCAAGGGTATATCAACTTCGGCTTCGTCCGAAGTTAGCTTTCCTCTCTTGTTTTTCTTATAAATAAGACAGGACTTGGTTTTTATACCCTTGCAGAGGGTATTATAATTTTGGTCAAAAGTGTGCAACGCAATGAAGGAGACATCTCCGACCCTATAAAGGATATATATTCTTGATCAGGATCACCTCCTGAGTTGATATAGCCATGTCCGTCTGTCCGTCTGTCCGTCCGTCCGTCTGTCCGTCTGTCTGTCCGTCTGTCTGTTTCTACGCGAACTAGTCTCTCAGTTTTAAAGATATCGAATTGAAACTTTGCACACACCCTTATTTCCTTTGCACGCAGTATATAAGTCGGAACGGCCGGGATCGGCCGACTATATCCTATAGCTGCCATATAACTGATTGATCGGAAATGCCATAACTCTGCTGTTTGTTAAGTTAGGAAGTTGGGACTCTCTATGGGTATTATATTTGGCCAATCAATCCGACGTACCAAATTTCATAAGGATCGGACGACTATATCTTATAGCTGCCATATAACTGATTGATCGGAAATGCCATAACTTTAGTGTTTGTTAAGTTAGGAAGTTGGGATTTTCTATGGGTTTTATTTTTGCCCAATCAATCCGACATATCAAATTTCATAAGGATCGGCCGACTATATTCTATAGCTGCCATATACATAACTGAACGATTGGAAATGCCATAATGGTGTTTTTAAAGTTAGGAAGGTTGGATTTTTTATGAGTATATAATTTGCAGAATATTCTGCAAGGGTATTTCAACTTCGGCTCCGCCCGAAGTGAGCTTTCCTTTCTTGTTATAAAATATATCTATCTAACCAAGTCAACTTTCTTGAATCGTTTTCACAATCGTTAATTTTTGAAAATAAATAAAATTGTCCATGTATAAGAGTAAGAGTATTACAAATTTGCATTATTTGGGATCCGAATCTGTACCCACAAATTTATTTGTGAAACTTGTTTCGATTGTCATTGAAATGAACACCTGTATCATCGCGCAACTTGGTAAAGACCCACAGTATCACTTGAAAGCTGCGCGAGCGCACTACAATAAATGTGTGTTTGACGTTATTTAGTTTTTTCAAAATATATGAAAAATAAAGAACTTTATTAATGCACATATAAAAATAGATACAGAAAAATTGAATCACTTGAAAGCTGCGCGAGCGCACTACAATAAATGTGTGTTTGACGTTATTTAGTTTTTTCAAAATATATGAAAAATAAAGACCTTTATTAATGCACATATAAAAATAGATACAGAAAAATTGAACACAAAAATAGATATTTTCCTTTGTAGAGGCATTATACCACATTGCTTTCACTTTTCAACCTAGTGCCGACAAGCAAACCGGTCGTACGAGAGCCAAATAAAAAACTAATGCATATTTTTCTCACAGACCAATATACACCATGAAACTGTACGCCGTATCCGATGGTCCGCCTTCGCTGGCCGTTCGCATGACCCTGAAGGCCTTGGAAATACAATATCAACTAATAAATGTGGACTTTTGCGCATTAGAGCATCGCTCTGAGGATTATTCCAAAGTTTGTACAGAATTATAAAGCCCCGAGTGTTTTTAAATAATAAAATCCGTTTATCTTTTTAGATGAATCCTCAAAAAGAGATCCCCGTGCTGGACGACGATGGATTCTATTTATCAGAGAGCATTGCCATTATGCAATATCTCTGTGACAAATATGCGCCGGACTCGTCGCTGTATCCCCAGGACGTCAACATGAGAGCGATAATCAATCAGCGATTGTGCTTCAACATGGGCTTCTACTATGCTCCCATTTCCGCCCACAGCATGGCCCCCATCTTTTTTGACTACGAACGTACGCCCATGTCTCTTAAGAAGGTCCAGAATGCCCTTGAGGTGTTCGAAACTTATTTGGAGCGATCGGGCACTAAGTACGCGGCCGGCGATAACATAACCATTGCAGATTTCGCTCTCATTTCGGCTACGCTTTGTTTGGAGGCGATTAATTTCGATTTGATGCAGTATCCGTTGGTGCACAAGTGGTACGTCACCTTCAAGGAGGAATACCCGCAGCTTTGGGAGATTGGTAACAGCGGCATGCAGGAAATCAGTGCGTTCGAGCAGAATCCTCCAGATTTGTCGCATATGGAACACCCATTCCATCCGACCCGTAAGGCTAAAGCCTAAGGCAGTAGTTTGAGGGCTCTTATAGCGAGGGAAGTTAAAAATATTCTGTTTTTGTAATTTTCGTGAAATATGTAATATATATACATCTATATATAATATACATAAAAATTATGCTTTGTTCCACTCTTAAAATTCTTTTAAATAAATTATATAGACAAATCACATAAAATCGTATAAGAATATTGCAAAAGCCATTAATTAAAATAACGCATTAGGTCCAAAAAAAATCTAATATTGTGGGTTACTTGTGTCTTTAAAAATATATTATCGATATTAACAAAAGTTTAAATAATTAATGGTAATAAAAAGTTTAAAAAATTTAAAACCAAAGTGCATGGTCTAAATAAATAACATTTATAATATTTAAACTTTTTTAAGAGTGAACACATTGCTTATATGTAAAATATTTGTATTAAATTTATCAAAAATTATCTTTCTGCGAGCAATTTAAATTTGTTTTTATGCCAATCTGTAAACTAATCACCTTTAGTTTTTATTAGTACATTTTATCGAACCTAAATGAATAATTAAATGGTAATATTATAAGCACAAAAATGAAGAAGTATTTTATTTAATGTGGTAAAACAGGTAAAATGTCTGAGAAATCCCCACGAAAAATAAAATAAACAAGAAAGAAAAGCTAACTTCGGGCGGAGCCGAAGTTGATATACCCTTGCAGAATATTCTGTACATTATATTCTCCCAAATTATTCATATGATGCATTCTTAACACTCATAAAAATACCAACTTTCTTACCTAACAAACACCAAAGTTATGGCATTTCCGATCAATCAGTTATATGGCGGCTATAGGATATAGTCGGCCGATCCTTATAAAATTTGGTAGGTCGGATTAATTGGCCAAATATAAAACCCATACTGCCCAACTTCCTAACTTTACAAACACCAAAGTTATGGCATTTTCGATCAATCAGTTATATGGCAGCAATAAGATATAGTCGGCCGATCCTGGCCGTTCCGACTTATGCAAATGCAAAGGAAAGACGAGTGTGTGCAAAGTTTCAATTCGATATCTTTAAAACTGAGAGACTAGTTTGCATAGAAACAGACAGACGGACGGACGGACAGACGGACATGCTTATATCAACTCAGGAGGTGATCCTGATCAAGAAAATATATACTTTATAGGGTCGGAGATGTCTTCTTCACGGCGTTGCACACTTTTGACCAAAATTATAATACCCTCTGCAAGGGTATAATAAATAAAACATATTCCTAAAGCAGGATTTCATCGTACGTATTAAGAGATGTTGGAAATTTAAATCCTAATATGAACCTGGGCTAAAGAATTTCTAAAAGCAAACCATAACTAACCACTAACAACCATTTTTGGGTTTCTTAAAAAACGCAGTTTACTCTAAAAAAGCTATAGTTGATGGATCGTTACGTTTTAAGAACATGCCTTCATTTGGGATACCATGACGGAATGGTCAATCATCAATTTGGATCAAGAAAATTACCAAAAATGCAAAGAGGGAAATTTTTAATGTACTTGCTTTTTAATTTTTAATCTTCATTGTTAGATTATTAGATGAAAAAGATTTAAGGAAAGAACTTGGGATTATAAGCCTTGAATCAAATTTTATTCAAAAAATCGATGTTATTTTTTCAAATTCCAAAGGATAAGGTAGTCTGAATTGATATATTTTAATATACGCCGCTTTCTGCATCAAATATAAGAATGTGACATAAGTGGGATTGAAACACTTCCTGCACATTTCGCATATTTTTGACATTTTTTATATATTGTCGAGCTGTTTTGCATATTCTCTATATTAAAATATCATATTTAAATATTTGATTTTTATTTAAATACGAATTAGGCGGTATTTGTCTCGAAAATGGAACGAACATATAAAAACTTAATACATTAGAATAATAAATTTAGCTGTGAATCGAGACTTATCCTTAACTTTGAGTAAACGATTTAAAAACTGAAAAAGACTTAGAAAATGTACTGAAGTCTCAAAAAAATTACCACGAAACTCACGAAAAAATTCAAATTCCGGGACACTGGATATTTTCTTAGTTATGATTTTAAGCCAACCGTTAAGGATTATTGGGAATAAAATACATTTTCAAATCTAAAAGTTATAGCATTAAGTAAAAGAACAGCTCACCTGAAATCCTCGATTAGCGATCCAATAGCTTCCGTAAGCTTGCCGTACCTCTCACCAAAGGCCGTGCCAATGGTTAGCTCTCCCATCAGACTGTGGGCATCCGGCTCGAGGTACATCTCTAGTTGCTTTCGCGCCTCGCTACTCAACAGATCCACTTTGGTCAGCACATTTACGTGCGGCTGCTCCATGTTGGCCATTACACTAAGTGCGGCCATAGTGCCGGATATGAACTTGGCCCCATCCACCATAAACTGCGAGTCCAAACAGAAGACCACGCAGGTGCGGAAGTTCCAAGACTCGAGCAGCTGGACCAGCTGCTTGCCCATTTTAAGGTGGGTGAACAGTTCGATCTGGCCGGGCATGTCGAACAGGATGTAATCGTCATCCGGCTCGCCCACCATCAGTTCGTCCTCGCCGCCGCAGAGCTGATCCTTCAGCCAATCCTGGTTCTCAATCAAAAACTCCAGGCAGAATATGAGGCCCCCATTCGGACCGTAGTGCAGCTCCTCGTCCTCCATTGCATCGTCCAAGTGAATCAGCTCACGAATGTCCGTCAGTGGAGTGTAGTTAAAGTGCTCCGCCGCCGGATCGAGATTCACCACTTGGATGTTTCGCTTGGAGTCCATGGCGAATTGCTGCATTAAGCTGCAGTACGTGGACTGGGGGATTGGGTTAAATTACTGCCGGAATCAGGGGCTGCTTTACTGATCTTACCTTGCCGCTACCTGCCGGACCCACAATTATCTGTGCATACCGCATGATTCGCAGGAATTCAGAAACAAAACAATCTCTTAAAGCGTGCGCCAGCTGCAGTGTTGCTCAACGTCGAAATTCTGCTCATATAACCTTTTCTGCCAACTGGTTGGCAGCATAAGCGCTGTCAACTTCACGATTTACCCTCTAAATGTAACAAAATTTAAAAAGAGACTATAAAACACTTTACATTTTATTTGAATGAATGGTTTTTAATTTATAACTTAACGCTATAAAAATCAATCGTCTTGAATTTCTTATATTTCTTATATTCTTTCTTCTTATTTCTTATATTCTTGATCAGGATCACATCCTGAGTTGATATAAGCATGTCCGTCTGTCTGTTTCTACGCAAACTAGTCTCTCAGTTTTAAAGATATCGAATATCGGCCGACTATATCCTATAGCTGCCATATAACTGAACGAGTGGAAAAGCCATAACTTTTGTAAAGTTAGGACGTTGGGATTTTTATGAGTATTAAGAATGCATCATATGAATAATTTTGAAGAATATAATTTACAGAATATTCTGCAAGGGTATTTCAACTTCGGCTCCGCCCGAAGTTAGCTTTCCTTTCTTGTTATTAATTACAATAAATAAACCTAACTAATTGGACAACTACAACAATTATTTCTTAAGGTTTTGAACTCCGTGAGTATTTTTTAATTTTTTACATACTGCATACACTTATAATTTTGGTCAAAAGTGTGCAACGCAGTGAAGGAGACTTCTCCGACCCTATAAAGTATATATATTCTTGATCAGGATCACCTCCTGAGTTGATATAAGCATGTCCGTCTGTCCGTCTCTCTGTTTCTACGCGAACTAGTCTCTCAGTTTTAAAGATATCGAATTGAAACTTTGCACACACCCTTCTTTTCTTTACACGCAGTATATAAGTCGGAACGGCCGGGATCGGCCGACTATATCCTATAGCTGCCATATAACTGAACGATCGGAAATGCCATAACTTTGGTGTTTGTAAAGTTGGGAAGTTGGAATTTTTTATGTGTTTTACATTTGGCCAACCAATCCGACCTACCAAAATTCATAAGGATCGGGCGGTTATATCCTATAGCTGCCATATAACTGATTGATCGGAAATGCCAGAACTTTGGTGTTTGTAAAGTTAGGAAGTTGGGATTTTCTATGGGTTTTATTTTTGGATAATCAATCCGACCTACCAAATTTCATAAGGATCGGCCCTATATAACTGGACGATTGGAAATGCCATAACTTTGGTGTTTTTAAAGTTAGGAAGTTGGGATTTTTTATTGGTTTTATTTTTGGCCAACCAATATAATTTACAGAACATTCTGCAAGGGTCAACTTCGGCTCCGCCCGAAGTTAGCTGGTCAGCTTCGGCTCCGCCCGAAGTTAGCTTTCCTTTCTTGTTATACCCGTTACTCGTAGAGTAAAAGGGTATATTGTATTCGTGCAAAAGTATGTAACAGGTAGAAGGAAGCGTTTCCGACCCTATAAAGTATATATATTCTTGTTCAGGATCACTAGCCGAGTCGATCTAGCCATGTCCGTCTGTCTGTCCGTCTGTCTGTCCGTCTGTCTGTCCGTCTGTCTGTCCGTCTGTCTGTCCGTCTGTCTGTCCGTCTGTCTGTCCGTCTGTCTGTCTGTCCGTATGAACGCTGAGATCTCGGAAACTATAAAAGCTAGAAGATTGGCATTTTGCATGTAGATTTTAGGATTTCCTACGCAGCGCAAGTTTGTTTCAAAATGGTGCCACGCCCCCTCTGACGCCCACAAGCCACAAGCTGTGGCCACAGTTTTGATGCTATTATGAAAATTTTAATTGATTTGTATTTGTTTCGTCAATACCTATCGATTGGCCTAATAAAAGTTTGCCACGCTCACTCTAACGCCCAAAAACCCATTAAACGCTTAAGCCTGGCTAGCGCCTACATTTCCGCCTTTCATGGCCCGTAGCGCCATCTAACGGATGACTTTGGAACAGCTGGCCAAGGTGCTAATTCGAGCGGCGAAAAACATACAAGAAGGCATATTTATATTAAGTTGTTTAGCTGAGTAACGGGTATCTAATAGTCGAAGCACTCGACTTTAGCGTTCTCTCTTGTTATACCCTTGCAGAGGGTATTATAATTTTGGTCAAAAGTGTGCAACGCAGTGAAGGAGACATCTCCGACCCTATAAAGTATATATATTCTTGATCAGGATCACTTCCTGAGTTGATATAAGCATGTCCGTCTGTCCGTCTGTCTGTTTCTACGCAAACTAGTCTCTCAGTTTTAAAGATATCGAATTGAAACTTTGCACACATCCTTCTTTCCTTTGCACGTAGTATATATGTCGGAACTATATCCCATAGCTGCCATATAACTGATTGATCGGAAATGCCATAACTTTGGTGTTTGTAAAGTAAGGAAGTTGGGATTTTTTATGAGTATTAAGAATGCATCATATGAATAATTTTGGAGAATATAATTTACAGAGTATTCTGCAAGGGTATATCAACTTCGGCTCCGCCCGAAGTTAGCTTTCCTTTCTTGTTTTACTAGTACATTCCTATACAAGCTATAAAGATTGGTTCGTCATTTAAGATGCTGACAGAATTTTATCAAATTTGGTAAAATAAATAAAAATGCACGCATAAAAACAGAAATTATTTTATTTACTAAATAAATACCCAAAAAATTGTTCATTTTTTGCTTAAATTCTTTTCGCAACAACTTGAGGACTTAAGGTTTTTGTTTCGGTTTGACTCAAAAAATCATATGAGTATTTTCTAAAATGAATAGATTGCGAAACTTTTTCAAGATAATAGTTAATCATATAACATTACATAGCACCATGAGTAATGCACTCTCAAATATCGTAATTTATTTTAATTCGGTTGAAAAAGTTATTATATCTGAGCGCTTTGTCGAGTGGTGATAAAATTTAATAACAAGAAAAACGATTTTTTACCGAAAAATTTTTAAAAAATAAAAAATATTTTGAAGGGATCGCTGACATGTTTGACATGGCTTGACTCATATTCTTACCCACTGCCTCACCCCTTATTCTTGAACGTATACATACTCTTTCTGGTTGGATTAAACCATGTAAAAGATAATTTTATAAACAAATTTTTCCTTAAATTTTATTTATAATTCTTGCACAATAAAACTTTATTCTTATACCTATAAGTGTAAATTGGACAAAAAATGGACAAAATTCATTTGCAAGTACTTCCTAAAGCAAGATATGTTTTCTCAATCAGGGAGACTACTAGAAACAGGCAATATATCTTTATTTCTGGTCTGGAAATACATTTTAGCTCCGACCTGGTTTATTTTGGCACTCGACCCACCTTTTTTGAAACAGATGCTTTAAAGTCGAAAAAGTAGTCTTCAATTTCATTGCGACATTGGAGTTTGATGTTTTTAAGGCAGAGACTGATGGACGTCGGATCACCGTCATCTAAACGATATGCTAGCCTCTGCTTCAAATGCGAAAGCAGGCCCAGGTTGGACAAAATATTCAATTCGGACGAGTCGTACAAGGGGTGCTTCTCTGCAAGAAACTGGGCGCACTTCTCATGAATGTCCAGACACTGAATGCATGTCAGACACTTTGACTCCAAGAAGCCCCGGAATAGCTTTAAAGCCACCGGATCCAGCATCGTTTTTTCGAGGCTGTTTGACAGCGTGTGGATCCTCTCCACCTCGGCCACCGTAATGCACTCCATTATCTTCTCGAAATCATTCTATCGTTTTGAAAAATTTATGATAAAACCACTTCCTCTACACGTTTTTTAAGTGTTTATTAACCTGGTTTGAACTGGAGGCCATGGCGTGTATATATAATCCTTAATATTCCGAAATAAGAATAATAAAGGCATTGGATGGGCGGCAGCTTTTATAGCCTCGATTGTGACGCTCCCTCCAAAGTTCTCGGGCCGTTATCTAAGTATGTATGTATCATAACTACTCGATCCAAAAAAGTCATATTTTCTCAGCTTGTATTACTTACTTGAACTATTCTCGGAGCTTATGTGTACTGTTTCTGAAAAACACCACTTTTCATTTACCCTTGCACATTGGTAATGTAAGTATGTAATGTAAGTATTTAATACTCAGTCTAAACATTTTTCGCTCTGATTTTCAGTTACATTGTTATCTAAAATATATTTTTAGTTCTTTTAATTATTAAATTATTAGATTAGAAAGTTTTGCTATTTTCTGGTAAAAATAAAAGCATTTAGTAGGACTTATTGTAAATTGGTGAATAGTTTAAATATTTAAGTATCTACGTTTAAAATAAAATTTATGTCGTGCCTGATCGAACTTAAAAATTAGTATATTATAGAATTCTTATTTATTAGATATTCTATTTATTTATATCTTGCTTATTTATTTATTATACAAAACGCACAACTTAGCGTTTAATCAAGATATAAATAAATTCAAACTATAAATAAATTCAAAGTTTTTAAATGTTGGAAAAAAATAAAATAAAATGGAAGTGAAAAATATAATAACAAGAAAGGAAAGCTAACTTCGGGCGGAGCCGAAGTTGATATACCCTTGCAGAATTCTCTATAATAATATTCTCCAAAATTATTCCTATGATGCATTCTTAATACTCATAAAAAATCCAAACTTCCTAACTTTAAAAACACCAAAGTTATGGCATTTCGAATCGTTCAGTTATATGGCAGCTATAGGATATAGTCGGCCGATCCTTATGAAATTTGGTAGGTCGGATTGATTGGCCAAATATAAAACCTGTAGAAAATCTTAACTTTCTAACTTTACAAACACCAAAATTATGGCATTTCCAACCGTTCAGTTATATGGCAGCTATAGGATATAGTCGGCCGATCCTTATGAAATTTGGTAGGTCGGATTGATTGGCCAAATATAATACCCATAGAGAGTCCCAACTTCCTAACTTAACAAACAGCAGAGTTATGGCATCTCCGATCAATCAGTTATATGGCAGCTATAGGATATAGTCGGCCGATCCCGGCCGTTCCGACTTATATACTGCGTGCAAAGGAAAGAAGGGTGTGTGCAAAGTTTCAATTCGATAGCTTTAAAACTGAGA